TGGCAACCTTCAAGTGCAGGCACCACTGGGAAGTGAAGCCACGGACGCGTTGGTGGGAGGGATTGTGCTCTGCAGCTGGTTGGGGCAGCGGCATGGAGAGGACCTGCGCGTGGGCATTCTGGTAGACACGCCGCATTGTGGAATTGGATGCCTGGGGTAAAAGACACCCTCCAGTCTGTTCTCAGGCAGCCAGGGAGAGGGGACGGGGAGCCAGGCTCTGCTGCAGCCCTGGCACCTGCTGGGGCAGACCTGGGACTCCAGCCCCCATAGCCTGGCTTGGGTTCGGGGTTCTGCCCATCCTTTCTGTGGTTTGTTCACGGTTCTGAGCAGCCTGCAGTGAGCCCTGGTCCACCCTGAACTGGCAGTCTTCAGGATTTGTGGCCCTTGGGGCTGAAGCCACATGAAGCTCTGTCTTCATCCCCTTGTCTCCGTGGAACCTTCAAGGCACCCCTTAGAGAGGCCCTGGCCCCAGCATCTATCCTACAGGTGGTGGCCCTCAGGATAGTGATAACCTGTTCATGGAGCACCTGTGGCAGGCAGCATGCTGAGTGCATTATCTCATTTAAATCCCATGACAGTCCCCAAAACTAGGTTCTGTTGTAACTCTGTTTAACAGATGAGTAAATAGAGGCATAAGAGAGGTTAAGTAACCTGCCCAAGGTCACAGAGCTAGTAAGCTGTGGAGCCGGGTTGTGAATTGTGCCACAGGCGCTTGTAAAGGCCTCACAAGAGAGCCTTTGGATGAACGTGGCAGTCCTGGTGGCCACCTTCCCCTCTGTTCTGCCTGGCCCCTTCTAGATGCAGGAGCTAGCCGCTGAGCCACCAGGAGGGGCCTGCCCACTAAGCACAATCCCCCCCCGCCCAGCCCTAGTGGAGTGGGCTCAGCCTCAGGAGAACAGAGGCAGCCTTGTGGCAGGAGCCCCCAGCTCCCAGCAACCCCACCTCCAGCCTTGGCTGGGTATATTTCTACACCCGGAGCAGCACATTCCATTCTCTGGCACGGCTGGGGGCTGGGGATTCCGGAGTCCCCTGGCTGCTTGCTTTTTCCCTGGCCCCAGCAGAGCCTGCTGTCAGGGCTGGGACACTGGGTCCCAGCCACACACATTCCAGCAGCAGCTACCCCCCACGTTAGATTTCCTAAGAAGTGAACTTTAGCCAGGATTACAGCCGACTAAACAGTTGCGGGATGTGAGCTTCCTTTGTGGGGACCTAAGAGGCTGGATGCTGGCAGGGCTGAGAGAGGAGGAGGGGTTGGGGGTGGGTCGTCTCTGGGAATCCGGAGAAAAGCCACTGGCTCCTCTGCCTCTGCCTGGGCCCTTGGGGTGGATGGAGAAGGGCTCCCAGAAATCTTCCTGGGAGGCAGGTTGGCAGCTGCCTGCACCCCGCCCCCCAGCTTGTCCTTGGCTTCACCCCTGCAGACAGTAGTGTAGTGGTTAAGAGCATGAGGTCAAATCCTAGCACCACCTTTTGTAAGCTATGTGACCTCCAACAAGTTCCTTAACCTCTCTGAGCTTCAGCCGTCATTATTAAAATGCCACTACTTCAAAGGGCAGTTGAGAGGCTTAAATTAGAATGTGAAATTGTTTCGAGTAGTGCCTGCCACCTATTGTGGCCTTGGTAATATTTATTGACTACTCGTATTACAGTAATACTAGTAATCTTCTCCCCAGCATTGGCTTACATACCACCCCGGGATGTATTTCTGAAGCAAAACCCCAGATGTAGGTTCTATCCCCTTCTGAAAGGAAAAATTCTGGCTTTTAGCTGAGATGCTCCTGTCTTTTTCCTGCCTTCCTGCCAGTAGTGTTTTTTAGTTAATTAATGAATCAATTAGGAATTTTACTGAGGACCTACTATGTGCAGGCACTGCTAGGTCATGGCTTTTGGCTCATAAAAATACTAATTACCATTTAACCGAACATCTTCTAAATGCTGTGCATTGTACTTTTTATGCATTTCCCACTCAACACTCAGTCACCCTGTGAAGTAGACGCCGTTATTCCGTTTTACAGCTGGCCAGTGTTCCCAGTGTCACAAAATCACTGTCACAGGATTAGGCCCCAGAACTGGGCTATCCTGGGCTATGCTGCCTCTTTTCACCCTGACGCTGAGTGTCCAAGTCCTTCCTGTTTTTTATTAGAATTTTGATTTCGTACCCAGCTGAAAAACTTGACTTTTGCTCTCTGGCAGCTAGGGGTGGCCATGTGACTTAGTTCTGGCCATTGAGCTTGAAGTGGAAATCTACCAGGTGGGACTGGTGGGAAATTATTGTTTTCCTGATCAGAAGGGCCAGAGGCAGCTGACATGCTGTTTTTGCTGTGAGCCGGTTCCCACCTCACTGCCTGGAACGTGGCTGGGAAGTTGGGAGGAGGCATCATCATAGAACCCTGAGAACAAAAGCCACCCTGGCATAGCAGGAGACAGGAGTCTGGGACACAGACCTCCCCCATCCACCTCCCTGCTCCTTGGGTTTCTGTTCCACATGGTCAGAGGCGAGCGTTCACTGACCCACTGAGCCCAGGTGTCTCTGGGCAGCACAGCTGCCTGTCTCCAGGCCCAGGGAGGGAGGACAGGGCAGCCGGGAGGGAGGAAGCCTCCTGTGATGGAGGGAGTGAAGAGTGGCACTCGGGCCTTGCAGGGCCTCCCTGGTCTTGGTAGGATTCCTTTTGGTCCCAGAAACGAGATTCCTGGGGGGTCTGACAGCAGATGTTGGGGGACAGAGCAGATATATAGTGCCGTCCTGACCCCTTGGTCGGGGGTGGGTGAGGAGTGCCTTACTGGGCTTCCCAGGGTGGGCCGAGGGAGCCCTCTCCCCCCTGCCCCACCGCTGCCAGCACCTGACAGAGGTCAGCATTGTACTTGAGCTGGAGCAGGCCCGGTCCTGTGTGTTCCGTGGAAAAATAATCCCTGGTCCTGGTCGACCATAGAAGTGTCCATAAATATTTGGTCAGGGTGGGAGGCGGGGAGACAAGGGGCAGATTCAGGCAGCCAAGTGAAGCAGGGCAGGGATTGGGCGCGGGGGGCAGGGGGGTGGCGGGGCTTCCGCAGAGGTGAGGAGGAACAAGTAGGCCTCTGCTGCTCCTGACCTGCGGCCAGGCCACCTGACTGCCCGGGGGTGATTTATGGGCCCAGTCAGACCACCTGTTAGCCAGACCTCAGGGGAGCATGCTCACACTGGCCCCACAACAGAAGTCGGGCCTCCGGCCCTCTGGAGATACGGCCTTGCTCATTTCTCGGAGGTGCCGTGCTCCTCTGAGAGCTGCGGGAGCTGAGGTTTTCCTCAGCTCCAGAGGAATGTGGCTCCTTTGTCTCGGAGGAGCAGCAAGGCTTGACTGGACTTGGTATCCCAGCTCTATCCCCACTGGCGAGGAGAGCCCCTCAGGGGGTGCCCCCCAACCCCTGCCCTGGGTACACCTGCCTGGTCCCTGGGGGCACCTCTGCTGATGGGCTCCCAGGGAGCTCTGTCCTCGCACCACGCTGCCAGATGCCCAGCACAGTGGGAGTGGCCTCTGGCCTCCATGTCAAGCCTTCTCCCCTCCCCGCACCATCCACCCCAAGGTTCCAGCGCCATCTGCTCTGAGCCCACTGGGGAAGCCCCTCAGGCTCTACCTGCCTCGGTCGTTAGCTTATCTAGATAGTGGTTCTCAACCCTGCACATCACCCCAGAAGCATCAGAAATACTGATTCCTGGGTGCCTGACAGATTCTGATTTAACTGCATTATGGTGGGGCCCGGTATTTTATAAAAGCCCCTAGATGATTCTAATGTTTATGTGTTAAAGTGCAGATTCTGATGCAGCAGGTTTCGGGTGGGGCCTGAGAGTCTGCATTTCTTTCTTTTTCTTTTTTTTTTTTGAGTCAGAGGCTCGCTCTGTTGCCCGGGCTAGAGTGCCATGGCGTCAGCCTAGCTCACAGCAACCTCAGACTCCTGGGCTCAATCGATGCTTCTGCCTCAGCCTCCCAAGTAGCTGGGACTACAGGCATGAGCCACCATGCCCAGCTCATTTTTTTTATATATGTATGTATTTTTAGTTGTCCAGATCATTTATTTCTATTTTTTTTTAGTAGAGACGGGGTCTCACTCTTGCTCAGGCTGGTCTTGAACTCCTGATCTTGAGCCATCCACCCGCCTCGGCCTCCCAGAGTGCTAGGATTACAGGCGTGAGCCACCGCGCCCGGCCTCTTTTCTTTTTTTTTTTTTTTAAGAGATGGAGTCTTGCTGTGGGGCCCAGGCTGGACTGAACTCTTAGGCTCAAGTGATCCTCCCACCTCTGCCTCCTGAGTGGCTGGGATTACAGGTACACGCCACTGCACCCAGCTAGCTTCCAAGTTTCTAACCAGCTCCCAGATGATGCTGACGCTGCTGGTCCAGGGACAGGTCAGGACCAGGTGGGGGTTTTTGAAAGCCAGAGGTCGGAGTGACAAATCTTAGACCTCAGGCTTTTCAGGCATGGTTCCCTGTGGCCCAGCCTTCTTGGACTCCTCAGACTAGGTGTTGCCCTCGTAGGACAGATGCTGCAGGACTGTGGGAGTCTTCTGACTGGGGAAGGCTGGGAACTTGGCACCTCTGTCCCTCTTTAGGGACAAAAGGACAGCCATCTCCATCCCTGGTTTAGTGATCAGGATGAGAGGGTGACCCTTGCCATGTGCTCTTGGGGATCCTATAAAAACAGGCATTGCTTTTCTTAGGCATTCCAAGTGGGTCTATGTGTGGACAGGCCGTGGGTTAAGATAAGGGCTTCTTTCTAAAAGTCCATTCTAGGGCAGGCATAGCGCCTCGGGCCTGTAGTCCCAGCACTTTGGGAAGTAGAGGCAGGAGAATTGCTTGAGCCCAGGAGTTGGCAGTTGCAGTGAGCTATGATCATGCCATTGCACTCCAGCCTGGGTGACAAAGTGAGGCCCTGTCTAAAAAAAAAAATTAGAAAGTCTGTTTTAAACCTCCCTGTCCCCCAACCTCTTGGAAACCAGCTGACAAAGAAATCACCTGGTCCAAACCAACTATTGTTTTCTTTGATTTAATTAAAAAGTTAAAAAAAATATGGAAACCAAACCCTATGTGTATCAGTTTATCTAGTACCTATGGCCTCACAGCAGTAGCAATAACTTACTCATGATCAGGGTAAGAGGGAGATGCAGGGGCTGCGGCTTGAACCCGAAGCGATCCCGTGGGAGGGTCTACACCGCGGGCTGGGCTTGCTCTCCAGGCCTGCGGGAGTGCTAGGCCTCCAGGTGGGGACCAGGGAAACGGGCAGGTGGGGGATAGCAGCGGTATGACTGGAAGCATTGAGACCCCAGCTTCTTTGGGGGCTACGGTGAGGATGCATAAAGGGGCAGTGGGGGAGGAGACTTGTCCCCCAAGTAGCTCAGCCTAATACGCAGACTTTCCCCTCCAAGGTGGGCCCCACTACCGACAGAGGGCAGCTGACACCACGTCTCCTCTGGAACCACGTCCTCAGGCTGCTAGAGCCCCTCCACCCTTCCTCCACTTGCCTGCTTTCTGAGACCCTGGGCTCTCCCCACAAATGAGAAAGCCCCGCTCCTAAGAGAAAAAGCCCAAGATCCCAGGGATCCCAGGGCCCCTTGGTCAAGGAGGACAGCCCCAGACTCTGTGCCCATCCCTTGGGGCCATGCCAGTAACAACTGCGTGAAACCACCCTCCAGCAGGGGCTGGGTCAGCCTGGGGGTGGGGCGAGGCCAGAGGGTGAGCACAGCTGGCTGGCCGGGGCAGGCCTCCTTCAGTGGGGCTCCGAGGCCCCGTAGAAGAAGGGGTAGTAGAGGGAGCAGGGGTAGGAGAACATGAATTTGACCGCGAACTTCATCTCCTTATTCTTCTTGTCCCAGCGGTAGACGGCCATGAGCAGCAGCTGTCCGTCCACCTTGCGGCCCATGACCAAGAAGCTGCCCGCCAGGCTGTCCAGCTGCGGGCAGGGGCAGCCCGCGCCGCTCTTCATGTGGAGCACCAGCCTCTTGGTGTCCTTGCGCTTCAGGGGGCCCGGCTTGAGCAGCTTCTTCTTTTTCTGGGCTCCAATCAACTTGCGGTCCCCATTCTCTATCTTGATCTCCTTGATGCGCATTTTGACCACTGTGGGAAGGAGGGACAGAGGGGCAGCCTGAGAACGGTCAGGTCTGCGCAGGACGCTCATGGCCCCGGAGTGGGCGCTGGTGTGTTCTGGACCTTCAGAGAGCCTGATGCTGGGGGGCTGGGGGACTGGGGGACTGGAGCTTTTAATATTTATGAGGGACCTATCATGTGCTGGACTTTGACAGATACTATCACCTTTCGTCCTTGGGGTACAGGAGTGGGGACATGAGACGTGGAGAGCTTGTGACTTGCCCGAATTGAGAGCCTGGATTGAGCCAAGGTCTGGCCAACTCTAGAGGCCAAGCCCTTCCGCAACACCCGGCACGGTGTGGAGAGCCCCTGATGGGGGGGGTGCAGGGAGTGGGGCTGACCACTGGAGGGGTCCCCGTGATGGAGGGAGGCTGCATTTCTTGCTCTCTGGGCATGATTACCGGTGGGATTTCTGGCTGTGTGTGTGTATGGTGTGGAGTGTATATGGGGGTGTGTATAGGGTGTGAGTGTGGTTGCAGCGGTGATGGGCTGGCACATGTCTAACAGCTAGCTTTGAGGAGGGGGATCCCTCTCTGTAGCATTTGGTGACATGGGGTAAATCCTCTACCACGACTGACCACATCCCTGGGCGTGGAGCTGGGAAGAGACACTCACAGTTCAGCTCCTGCTGGTGTGAGCACACCACTGTATAGTGATTTGTGTGTGTGTGGTGTGTTTCTGTGTCTGCCAGTGTGTCTGTGGCATGTATAGGAGCGTGAGTGTGGGGAGTGGCTGGGGACATGCGTGAAGGCAGGGTCTGTGGCCAGGGAGTCGTGGTCCGAGTCACTCTGCAGTGGCTGCAGAGAGCCTAATACGGTTGGGGACGGGGAGTCTTGGGTTTGGGGATGGGGTGGGGAGTCACTTAGGCTGGTCTCTCCCTTCTGCAGGCCTCTGGGCCGCCATCTCTGCGAGCGGCCAGGGAGAAGCCAGAGAACTTTGCCCACTCTAGGAAGGACATTGTCATAAAATCTCCTTCCTTCTCTCTTTTTTTGTTCCTCTTCTCTCCCTTTCTCTCTCTGATACACACACATATCCCTTGCAATGGCAATATTCTCTTTTGAAACGGGTTGCTGACGTAAGACTCCTCTGAAGGAAGGACTTCATTATTATCTTTTTTCTTTTTTATAGACAGGGAGGCTAAGACATGAAACAGGGAACTGACCTGGCAAAGATCACAGGGTGGACCATGAGGTCCGTGCATGAGCTGAGCCAGGTCCTGACTAGACTTGGCTGGGTTGTCCCAGCAATGGGGAGGCTCTGGGATGAAGCTTGGGGTCAGGTGACCACAGCTCGCCTGGGCAGAGGTGCCCAGGCACAAGGGGGCTCCATTTGGAGCCCATCCTCTCCCCCTACAGCCCCATCCATTTCTGGGCTAAGCCCGCATCTTCCAGAGAGACAGTCCAGCTGCAGAGGCCCCCTGAAGACAGCGCCAAGGGAGGAGCCCTGGCCAGGGGTGGTTTCTGAGCCCGTGGACCATGGCATTGAGGGCTTGTGAGACTCCTGAGATGATGTGCAAAAAGCAGTGTGTTTCCCTTGGGAGAGGGTTTGTGGTCACCATCGGATTCTAAAAGGGGTCCATGGTGCAGAAACTGTGAGGACTCGCCGTGTTGGATGTGGGCACGTATGTTCACGTGTGTGTCAAGGAGGAGGGGCTCGGGGTGGCACCGGGGAGTTGTGTGGGCCCCACACTCACCGAAGTCGCTGGAGCACATCTGCTCCATGAGGCCGTCGGCGCTGTGCTCCATCTCACACTGGGCGCAGATCTTGGTCACTGAAGAGAGAAGGCAGGGTGGGGTTGGGGGATGGTTGGTGAGGGGACTGGAGTCCAGAGAGTCACTTAGCAGTGCAGGGTCCCCCACTGCCCAGCCACCTCCCCCGCCAGGCCTCCACTTCCTCGTCAGGAAATGGGATGATGGCAGTAATACCACCCTCTGCTCATCGAGTGATGGACAATCATGAGACAAGATTGTGCAGAGACAAAACTGCCAGGTAGGCACACTTATTGCCCCATGACCCTGGCAGCTACCACCATGATGTGCATTGTCTTCCAAATTTTATAGAATCCCCAGCCTATGAAGTAGGTATTATTATTCCTATTTTAGAAAAAAGGAAACTGAGGCCCGACGTGGTTACCCAAGTCTACAAAGTTAGTGAGAACCTGGCTTTGCGACTCCCGGTCTAGTGCTAAGGTGGGATGTTTGCAGGGTCTCTCCAGGAACGCAGAGGCCGACAGATCCAGGCAGGTGGGTAAACGAGTGGAGCTGGCAGGGCTGGGCCTTCACTAAAATGAGGGACACTCCTCCCAACGAGGGCGGCTTAGCGCTAACAGAACTTCGATTTTTTTTTTTTTTTTTTCTGAGACAGAGTCTCGCTCTGTTGCCCGGGCTAGAGTGCCATGGCATCTCAGCAACCTCAAACTCCTGGGCTCAAGCGATCCTCCTGCCTCAGCCTCCTGAATAGCTGGGACGACAGGCATGCGCCACCATGTCCAGCTAATTATTTCTATATATTTTTAGTTGTCTAGCTAATTTCTATTTTTTTAGTAGAGACGGGGTCTCGTTCTTGCTCAGGCTGGTCTCGAACTCTTGAGCTCAAACGATCTGCCTGCCTCAGCCTCCCAGAGTGCTAGGATTACAGGCGTGAGCCACCGCGCCCGGCCGGAACTTCGATTTTTTGAGGGAAGCCAAAACTCTCAATTTTTATATGAAATATTCCGAATTTTATCTAGTGGCCACACAAACACTTCTTCAGGCCACCCCTGGTCCTCAGGCCACCACCTAGTGCCTGACCTCTGCACAGCTTCACCTATGTCTCTGCCTCCAGGTGGGCACCCATCGCTGGGGAAAGGGCGGCTCAAAGAGGGTGGGGGAGTGTGGAGGGCAGGGCCGGGGGGTGCAGAGCCTGGGACTTCCATGCTCACAGGCTCCAGAAACACCAGGGGAGCAACCCTGCAGGGATCCCTGCTGGAGCTGGCTCTCCCCTGCTTCCCTGGGCAACGGCCAACACCCAGGCCAGGGAGTTTCCCTGCTTCCAGCACTGCCCAGGCACAGGACGCCCACCCAACAGCGCCTCTTGGGAGAGGGAGTAGGCTGGGCACACCGTGCAAGTTAGGTTAGCCTGGAGGGGGTGGGATGGGGCATTGTGGGGTCTACTTGGGTTTTGGGGGAGTGGGGAGGACAGGAATAGAGGGTGTGGTGCCATCCCTTTGGGAAGCTTCAGTGTTGGGGGGTTACTTAGACTCTGTGTTAACCACCCAAGCAAGGCTTTTCTGTTCAGTGCGCTGTCTGTCCCGTCCCGGCAGTGGCTCTGTGTGCCCAGGCCCCCTGGAAGGAGCCCAGCAGATGGGAGAGGAACGGGGAGGGGTGGTGGAGCCAATCTGGGAAGGGCTGTGTGGACCAGCACAGGGAGGGGGAGGCTGAGACCAGGGAGAAATCAGGGGTAATGGGACTGGAAGTGTGGGTAGAAGGTGGGACTTAGGATCTCATAGGTTTCATGAACCTGGGATCGTTTCCTATTTTATGGATGGGGAAACTGAGGCTCAGAGAAGTTAAGCAACTGCCTAAGGGCTCCTCTTTGGGAGCAGAGCCTGACTAATCTGCTCTCTCTGCCTTGCCGAGCCCCACCCAAAAGACTCCCAGCAGAGGGCACTGGGGAAGAGGGTGGCGAAGTTAGGGTTCCAAGTGCAGAAAACGGGGGGAGACCATAGCCCAGGAGCACTCTTAGCCCCCAGTTCTTTGTCACATCCCTTCCCTCACCCCTCCTCCCTTTCCAAGGTCCCAACATGGGGTAGGGGCGATGCTTGTCTTGGTGCCCTGGGATTCCGGTGAAAAGCATTGTTTAGCGACCCTGAGCATTCTTGGGTTGAGGGGAAAGATAAGGCATTTATGTGGACGCCCCAGGTTGCGGGGGGGGACAGTACTGGGGGCACCCCAGGGATTCAGCCGCTTGGTTAGCTGGGCGCTGCGAGGGGCGCCGGGGGTGTTCAGGAACGGAGAGCCAGTGGGAAGGTCCAGAGCGGCAGGGAGACACTGCTCTGGCAGTCCATGGAGAGGTGGAAGGCGGGCAGGCTGTGGGGGACAATTCCCGGGACTCAGGGCTGAGCGAAGACGGTGGCATGAGTGTGTGCAGGGGGGTGGCACCTCTCCGGGGGCTCGCAGAGCTGTGCTAAGGGTTGGGGGAGCGGCATCCCGCTGGGGCCCAGCTCTCGAGCACCCAGGGCCGTCGGGGCGCGCGGGGGTGGCGGCGGCGGCGGCGCTACCTGGAGGCGCGGTGGCGGGCAGGTGCCCGAACTGCACAGCGATGCAGAGGTCGTTGTCCAGGGGGAACTTGTGGCAGTGCAGCATCTCGGGCCAGGGGAAGCCGTAGGCCTCCATGAGCGGCGCGCAGCCGGCGCGCACGGCCTCGCACAGCGAGCGGCACGGGTAGATGGGCCGGTCGAGGCACACGGGCGCGAAGAGCGAGCAGAGGAAGACCTGCGTGTCCGAGTGGCAGCGCTTGGCCAGCAGCGGCAGCCAGCTGCTCGCCTGCTGCTTCACCTCGGCCAGGCTCTCGTGCTCCAGCAGGTTGGGCAGCCGCATGCGCTTGTAGCCCACCGTGTGGCAGAGCGGCAGGTCGGCGGGGATGTCGAGGCACTGCGGCGGCTTGGAGTAGGAGCGGCCGTGCAGCGGCTCAGCCTGCCAGCCGTAGTAGTCGTACTCCTCGCCGCGCGCCGGCGCCGCGTGCAGCGCCCCCAGCAGCAGCGCCAGCGCGGCCGCCCGCGCGCCCCCCGCCGCCGCCCGCATGGCTGCGCAGGCCCGGCGCTCCCCTGCAGCCGCCGCCGAGGTCGTCCAAGTGGGTGGCAGCCCTCGCTCCGCCGCGGGTGCCCCGAGTGATCCTGGCGCCTCCCACCTCGGGGCTCCGGCCCCGGCCTCCCCGCGCCCCAGCCAATCTCCGGCCGCGCGGCCCCCGCCCCAAGGCGGGGAGGCAGGGTGGAGCCCCCCAGCCCCTCCCGTGCCCGCGCGTCCCGCCCAGCTCCGGGCCGGGCCGTGCACCCCTCTTGGCTCCTGGCTCCCCCGCCGCAGCCCGGCCTCGTCTTGCGCTTCTCCCCGCGGCGCTCTCGCCTCCCTTGGCATTTTCCTCGCCCCTCGCCTTCTCCATCCTTGCCCCTTATCGCGCTCCGCCACAGCCTCTCCTGTTCCTTTTCTCGCTCACTTCACTTGCTTATCTTCCGCCGCGGCCTTTCCCCCTCCGCTCTGTTTTCTCTTCCTGACACCTCCGTTCCTCTTCTCCCCGGCGGGAGGCTCCTGGCTGCCCTCAACCTCCTGGACCCCCAGGTCCTCTGGGCAGGTCTCACTTCAGTCCCGAGGGTTCACGAGCTTGGTGCGGGGTACCGTGCTGGCTGCTGGGGAGTCAAAGATGGGCATGACCCGGGACCCACGTCCAGCGATGGCGCGGTCTAGGTAATCGGAGCTTCTGTTGAGTGAGCTCTTATTAAGTGCCAGGGACGGGAAGGTACGTCTTATCAACTACTGTTTCTAGTGGTGGCTAATACTTAGTGGGCGCTGATGGTGTGCCAAAACTGTTCTAAGCACATTGCATACATCCCCTCATTTAATTCTCAGGATAATGCTACAAGATGGGTAGGTACTATTATTACCCCCACTTTACAGATAAAGATACTGAGGCAAAGAGAGGTTAAGTAAGGATTAGAGCCAGGATTTGACCCTGGATTCCAGAGTCAGAGCCCAAAAACAACCAGGTCTGGATTCTGAGTCTGTAGGCCTAATGGCTATGGGGGGCGGGCTCAGAGAGGCGAAGTAATCGGCTCTTGGTCACCCAGCTCATAGGTGAAGGGACCAGGATTCAAATCCAGGTGTTGGACTCCAAAGGCCAGAGCTTCCTGCTGGAGGATAAATTTCAACCTGGGGTAGGAAATGCTGTGGGAGGAGAAGGAAGTGACAGTGTCTCTGAGGAGGGCACACAGGGCAGCAGCAGAGCAGAGGTGACTTTCGGGAACCCCATGCTTGGTGCCTTTTTCTCCTGTCTGGGTCCCACCTTTTGTTGGCTTTCCTGGGAGAAGAACTTGGACAAGAGGCTTGGCGGGGTGGCAGGGAGGGGGGCTCCTTCCTGAGAGTCTAGCCTGACACCTGACCTCCCAGCCGTTGGTGGGGAGGGTGCCCTGGGGAGGTGTCTCATAGGAGGGCTGGGAGGCAGGAGGGCTGGCGCACTTGCCCCCTCCACTCCTCCCTTTATCTCCCTGCCCCCCAATATTTTCAGGGCTCCTGTCTTCCCGTAGGTCTGTCCTTGCAGTGGTAGTGGAGAGGGGTGAGGCACCACTCCTTAATATTCAGTGAACATGCATGGAGCGCCTACTGTGTGCAAGGCATGGGGCGGGGTGTCCATGGGGACACGGAGGTGCAGAAGACATGGCCCTGCTTCATCTGATCTGGTCGTGAGAAACGGGCATAAGTCAGGCAGAGGAGGCAGAAGAAGATTCAGCAGATAGAGCCCCAGGGGTGGGGCAGGATGTGTTTGATGACCAGATGACCTGGTTGGGTCTAGGTAGAGCAGCTGGGGCTTTCTCTTCCCCTGCTCCCTGTCCCAGCCCACAGCATGGAGAGGTTCTGCAGATGACCACTCAGAAAGTGAAGGACTGGCCTTGGCAGGGCCAGGCATAGTTCCGTAATGGTGCAAGAGCCTGGACTCTGCAGGCAGATAGAGCCAGGTTCAAATCCTGGCCACTTACTAGCTGGGTGACCTTAGGCCAGTACTTAACCATTTTGACCTTCGATTTCCATCTTTGTAAAATGGAACTTCCGCAGGAAAGAAAGCCCCCTGCACAGTGCCAGCATGCAGTGAGCACCTGGGAATGTTAGACCCCCAAGGGATGTGCGATTTGGGGATAAAAATGTGGTGTGTGTTCTGAAAGCCCCCTTGGGACACCTTGTCCCTGGCTCCGGTTTTGGGCTCTGAACAGCAGTTCTGCTCCCTGCACTCTGACTCCCCTACCCCCCTGTAGGCTTGGCAGGCTTCTGCCCTCCAGGGGAGGTGTGGCCATGGGCACTGGCAGCGGTGTTGGAACCCCCCAGGTGGTTGTGCAAGGTGCTGGCTCCTTGGGCAGCTGGCCGGCTGTGCTGTTCTTGGCGTCCCAGTGCCTGGCCTGGACAGAGCAGGCTTTGTTCCCGCTGCTGCTTATGTAAGAGCTGCACGTGGCCAGAAAGCCAAATGAGTCTAAACCTGACAGCTCCGGGGGCTCGAAAGGGCAGTGGGGCCAGGCTGGAAGCCCCCTGGAAGAGGAGGATGGACAGTCTTTACCTGGCAACTCCGTCTTGGGGGACTCTCGGAGGCTCCCTGACATAGGACCCTGTGGTGAGAGCAAGGAGGGAAGCTCTTCACAGAAACCAAGCCCAGATGAGGGTTGTGCCTTGGGGCAGTCGTCAGGGGCTCTCCTCTCTCTCTCTCTCTCTCTCTGTGGTCTGCAGTCCCGACAGAGGCTGTGCTCTGATGTGGTGCCCCTTCTTGATGAGACTGGACCAGGCCCTGGCAGCTGGGTGGAACACCTGGCATGCTGGGCATCTGTCCATCTTGTGGCATCTGCAGTCTGTCCAGACCTTTCCTCCAGCTGATGGAGGGGACCATTTATTCAAAAGAATGTGTATTTATGGTTTGTTCTATATAGATATCTCTTAGATCAAACTTGCTAGTTATGTTATCAAATTCTACAATTGTCTACTTTTTTTATTGTCTATTTCAGTGGTACTCAGTGTGGGGTCAGGGTTCCCCAGGGAGTCCCCAAGACCCTTTCCGTGGTATATAAGGTCAAAATTGCACATAATTCAAATGTCATTCAAAGTACAAGATAGACCAGGAGATTTTAAGGTAATACAGTCAGAGAAGCTTGTTGATACGGTTTCAGATTCTATATTGCAATGAACATTTAAGAAGCTACTACTACATGCCAACTTTTGGAGTAGTATCGAAGAAGAATATCTACAATTAACTGAGAAGGCCATTAAAATACTCCTCCCTTTCCTAACTACATTTCTGTGTGAGGCCAAATTTTCTTCATATACTTCCACCAAAACAACATATGGCAACAGATTGGATGCAGAAGCAGATATGAGAATCCAGGTGTTTCTATTAAACCAGACATTAAAGAGATTTGCTAAATTGTAAAACAGTGCCACTCTTCTCAGTAAAATTGTTTTGGAAAATGTAATTATTTTTCATAATTTATGTTAACATATAATGATTTATTATTATTTTAAATGAATTAATAAATAAACAAAATTTTCTTCATATGATGAACAGTGATATATATGCAAATCCACATAAACAAAAGGTCTTTGTGGTTCTCAGTTTTGAAGAATACAAAGAGGTTCTGAGACCAAAATGTTTGAGAACTGTTAGCCTGCTTCATGTGTCGCTTTCTGATATAGGTATACGAAATCTACTGTGCTTGCGGGTTTGTGAATTTTTCCTTTTTTTAAAAAATCAGTTTCTGCTTCATATACTTTGATGCTCTGTTGTTAGGAGCATAGCGTTTCATGATTGTTATACCCTCTGGTTGGATTGTAACTTCTATTTGCATGAAATATCCTTCTTTGTTCCTTTTAATGCTTTAGGATTTGGGAATAATGATTCCATGAACCAACATTAACTAGAACCTGTGTGGGCCAGGCATAGACATGAAAAAGCTTTGGTTCTCGTCTGAGTGGAGAACACAGACGCACAGAGGTAATATAGTATAGCAGGAAGAGTCTGGACTTTGGAGTCAGACTGGTCTGTGGTGAATTCTGAGTACTTCCTAGTTGTGTGTCCTTGGGGGCATGTGTATGTTGGACTTTGAGCCTCAGTTTGTTCATCTGTAAAATGGAGTTAATAGCATCTACTTCCTGGATGTTAGTGAAGACTCATTGACATAATGAATGAGAGGATGAGAGAAGCACCCGCAGAGTGCCCTGTATTTGTAACTGTGTGATCAGTGCCATAACAGAGCCATGGGCCAGGAAGTCCACGCCGCCTCCCCATTCGTGCCTCCTTACAAGGCCTTACGGACAGTGGAGAGGGCACCAAACTTGGATTGAAAAGATCTGAGTTATGCATCTTTAGTTGGCTAGCGAGCCCCTCCCGCCCCCTGAGTCTCAGTTGCCGAATCTGTGAAATAGAGAGGACCACTTTGCCCTGCGTGATCCATCGTGGGGTTGTCTTGAGGATCGAATGAGATAATGAAAGGGAAGGGGCTTGGTATGATGACAGTGTTGAGGTTGACGTGTCCTTGGCCTGAGGGGGGGCTGAGGAATAGAAGGAGGCCCCCAGGGTCCCTGTCACCTCTCCTGTCCCCGGGCTGTGAGGAGGTCCTGCCAGCACAGGCTGGGGTACCTGAAGTGGTAGGACAGAGTCTTGTCATTATTTTAGTCTCCTGGAATCATCTGTCCTTTACAATCTCAGGGCTCCCCTGCCGGGACACTGTCTTCATAGAAGCTACTGTTGAGTGCTCGTTAAACAGCCGGGGTGAGTGGTCTGTGTAATTAATAGAACTATCAGTGCTGGCCGGGACCTACTGTCCCCACCATTTTCTGTAAGAGGAAACTAAAAATTGGCCTTCCTGACTCCCAGTCTAGAGCTCTTCCTACCACACCTCCAGCACTGTTTTACTTTCCAGCCTTTTGGCTTCGTCAATAGTAAAGTCAACATCTGTCCCAGGGGCCCCCAGCTGTGCAGGGCCTCTCTGCTGTGCAGCCTGTGCTCTAGCCTGCAGTTCCGGCAGGCCTGCTCAGGGTCGCCGGGCACCCCTCCCAGCAG